TGAAAAACCATGGATGTTAGAAATGGAAAAGTATCAGGGGGTAGCCGTGTTAGTCTGTATCTACAAAAACAACAAGGAGTCTGGTGGCACCTTAAAGACTAACAGATTTATTTGGGCATAAGCTTTCGTGGGTAAAAACCTCACTTCTTCAGATGCATAGAGTGAAAGTTACAGATGCAGGCATTATATACTGACACATGGAGAAACACCATTAATCTGGGCTTGAATAGGGACTGGGAGTGGCTGGCTCATTACAGAAGCAGCTTTTCCTCTCCTGGAATTGAAACCTCCTCATCTATTATTGGGAGTGGACTACATCCACCCTGATTGAATTGGCCCTGTCAACACTGGTTCTCCACTTGCGGAGTAACTCCCTGCTCTCCATGTGTCAGTATATAATGCCTGCATCTGTAACTTTCACTCTATGCATCTGAAGAAGTGAGGTTTTTGCCCACGAAAGCTTATGCCCAAATAAATCTCTTAGTCTTTAAGGTGCCACCAGACTCCTTGTTGTTTTTAGAGATGGAAAAGGCCTTTAAAGTGGCTGTGTCCATTCTCTGGCCAGTGTAAAAATAAATACATCATTTTGGATGAAAAATTCACGTTGTAAAATGTAGTATCCTCATTTGAAATGCCAGTTTTGCTCCAGAGAGCGTTTGGTTAATTCATTTCACTTAGCCTGGTCAGAGCTCTACTAGATAGAGGATACAGTGACCATTAACAGTGGGTTTAGCAAGAATTGAAAACATGAATCTATAGGGCTGTATGAGGCCGTGCATTTATGTACTCTTTATGGCTGTGGAATAATTAAGTCAGAGCTCCTGGAATTTTACAGTCACCTGTGGGTTTGGTAGGTCTGGAGTTGCATGAAATCACGCAAAATAAAATAAAATAAATTCTCAAAACCTCTCTACAGCACCTATCCTGATAGAACCTCAGAGTATACTACACAGTATGCACACAATTTTACACTGTAAATAATGTGCATGCCACAACTGCTAAACAGTCCTTCTAAAACAAACTCTCTGATAGGCTTTTCTACTTTGGCCTTAACCCCAGCCAGTCTAGATTCGAAGATTGTTTTTTAGGGGATCTTTTTACAGACTTAATGAATTTTCTAGGTGAAGAGTCATTTCACTGGTTGTGTTTCTGAGTAAAAAAATACATTAGTGGTAATCTAAAACACAAATTATTTACCAAAAAAACCCTACTAACGATGCAAAATTAATTAAAGTAAGAGGACATTCAAGATTTTTTAGAAGATACATTGTGTGCTTGTCTTGGGATGTTATGATATTAAAATAAATTAATCTGGGTTAAAAACTAGCAATTTCAAATAAACAATGTGGAATTTAATTTTATATCTTTCCTTTTTTCTTTTTGCTGTTTTGTATATAGGGCCTGGGTTCCAATAAATAATTGCTACCTCATGTCTAAAGAAATTCCTTTTTCTGTGAAAAAGACTAAAAGCATCTTCAACAGTGCAATGCAAGAGATGGAGGTTTATGTGGAGAATATTCGTAGAAAGTTTGGAGTATTTAATTACGCACCTTTCCGGACACCATATACTCCCAACAACCAATACCAAATGTTGTTAGATCCTGCAAACCCAGCAGCTGGAACTGCAAAGACAGACAAACAAGAGAAAATCAAACTGAACTTCGACATGACAGCATCACCCAAGATTCTAATGAGCAAATCTATGCTGAGCAACACTGGTCGAAGGATTTCCTTGACAGATATGCCACGGTCACCAATGAGTACAAACTCATCAGTTCACACTGGATCCGATGTTGAACAGGATGCAGAGAAAAAAGCAACCTCCAGTCATTGTAGTGCAAGTGAAGAGTCCATGGACTTCATTGACAAGAGTTCAGGTAAAAGCTGGGGAAAGAGGGATGCTGCATTTGGTTAAAAAGATTTTTTTATTAAATGTAATTAATAAAGACAAGCTTTTTCGCCTGGCAGTTTACAAGGAAGTTGTAGAGGAAGGGAGCAGTTTAATTTTATCCATCAAAAGGCACAGAAAAGAAGTAATAGAATTAAACTGCATCAAGGAACATTTAGTTTAAATAGCAGGAAATTTTTGTAACTGTCAGAATGAGAGCTTATGCAGTCGCCATCACTGGAGATATTCAAGTTGAAACTTGATAGACAATTTTTAGGACAAATTTAAGAATAATTAGGTCTATACTACTGCGTGCCTGATTCACCATTACATTACTCCATTGACATCAATAGAGTTACACCAGTGTAAAGCCCTTCAGTGCCAGGAGGCAGACTGGATAAGAGGAATCCTGGTCTAGTGCAGGGGTCAGCAGCCTTCGGCACGCAGCCCATGAGGGTAATCTGCTGGTGGGCCGCGAGGTATTTTGTTTACGGTGACCGTCCATGGGCCCAGCCCCTTGCAGCTCCCAGTGGCCGAGGTTCACCGTTTCCGGCCACTGGGAGCTGCGGGGGGACATGCCTGCGGATTACCCTGGTGTGCCGCATGCCGAAGGTTGCTGACCCCTGCTCTAGTGATTAAAGCTCAGGACTGGGGATTAGCAGGTCTTTATTCTGTTCCCAGCTGTGCCACAGAGTTGAGAAAATCACTTAACCTGGATTTTTTTTCTCCATAAAGTGGGGAAGATCACATGTACCTCACAGAAGTGTTGTGAAAATTGATTATTAATGACTGTAAAGTTCTTTGTGATTCTTGGAAAAAAGCAAAATTCATCTTTGCACCAAAGCAGCTGCTGCTGCAATTGTTGGCTAGTATCAGAGGGGTAGCCGTGTTAGTCTGAATCTGTAAAAAGCAACAGAGGGTCCTGTGGCACCTTTGAGACTAACAGAAGTATTGGGAGCATAAGCTTTTGTGGATAAGAACCTCACTTCTTCAGATGCAATTGTTAGCTAAGATTTTCAAAAATGACGAATGTTTTGGGATGCCCAATATTTGGGTCACCAACTTCAGATGCCTTGAAGATTGCCTGCTTTTCAGAGAGTACCTTCTTAAAGAATCATTTAACTACTGGCACTAATACTAGGTGTAATTTCAAGGGAGCTAATAACTTCAGTTTTTAAAGGTAGGGGAAATGACCTATCTAAAGGATATTCAAAGAGCAGTGTAAAGGATTTCATATAAAAATTTGGAAACTGGAAAAACTAGTTAACACAGCTTAGGGTATAATAGTAAAATGGAGTGACTTCTCAAATGTTGCTCATCTTAAACACAGACCTTAATTCAAGAAACGACCATTCATGTTTCTCAGTCAAAAGAGGAGCCAAGTGTATGGGAAATAAATACATGAAATATTTGTTCCTTGTCCTTAATTTGTTTAAATTTCTAAGTTGCTGTTCTGCCACCCTGTAGAGACTTTTATCTTGGATAGACATTTGAGAATTCCATTTCCTTCAAAATAACGTCTACAGAAGCTGTAAAAACCTTTCTTAAACCAGTTTGTATGTTGTCAGAGGGACTCAGCTTTTTCAGTGTCTGCGTGATTGCTCCGATAATATACGTCCTTCTGAATCTCGTATTGTTTAGTGATGAACTCTAGTAGAACATCTGCTAGTGCATGTCATGATCAAGAAGGAGAAACTTCTGTACTAGCTGCCTTTTGCTTTAGAGAGCAGGGTTGCTGATAGCAGAATCAGTGCTTGATACTCATTGGTAGAATGTTCATCATCTTGTGAATTGCCACTCTCCTTTGAAGTCCCTGAGTGTAAGGAATTGTAATGTGAGTCCTGTTTATTTCTCTTTATTTGGGGGAGAAGGGGGACTTTGGTCTCAGCGTGTGGTGAAAATTCACTTTTTGGGAAGTATTTCTCTTCATGGAGAAACATTCATTTGTATTTTACAATCACTTTTTTTTAAATTGATGAGTATTTGGATCTTCTTGTTAGTAGTGCCACCGTATAAGTGACATTGCGTGCCAGTCTTGCTCCCATTGATTTAGTGAGATTAGGATTGGGCCATTTATTTGCAACTCTTCCAGTTACAGCTACAGTGTCAGAAACAATAAGCCAGTTTCCAACCTACTTTTAGCATTTCAAAAGGAAATTTTTAATTATTGAACAAAATCTTTACTATATAAACTCTTTGCTGGTATGTTCTGCTCTTCCTGTAAACTCAGCAGAGTCAAAGTTCAGAAGCATAAACAGAAGTCCACTTTTTTTTTAATTTATTGATGTTGCAAAACTCCATCTGATCACTTGATGTCTTCAGACATGATATGTTAAGCTATTGTGGCAAGTCACCTCTTTTCTCTTGTCAGCCCTAGTGCTTCCCCCTCTGGCAATGGTGGGCCTGGAGTAATAAACCCCACTCAGGCAGGATTTGCCTTCCCCCATCTGTGCTCCATTGGTTGTATTTTCAGGGTAGGCCTGAGGGTCAGCCTAAGGGGTGATCCTCCACCAAACAAAACAGAAACAGTCTTATAAACAAAATCGGGAGAGGGTATCTCAGGTGTCAGTCCTTCCCTTAGCAGGCACTCAAGTTTGGCTGTCTCCTCTATGGGAAGGAGCACAGCCTCTCACCCTAGAGCAGCCTATTTCCCTGCTGCCACTAGTCTGGCAGCAGCTTGTCTTTCTCTTCCTGCCCCCCAGGGGTTTTTAAAGGCCTCAGGCAGCCCTTAATTGGATTCAGGTGTCCCTAATTGACCTGAGGTAACCCCCTTCTCAGCTTCTAGGAAAAAGCGCTAATATATCAGCCTTCCAGGACCCTCTTGCAGCCATCAGGCCTGACTTTGTCACACTATATAATGTACATGCTAAGTGTCCTATAGTTACCAGGCACTTAAAGGTTAAATATCATAGTGCAACAGAAAACCTCTCTCTCATGCTACTTTACATAGTCAGTCATCAAGTCTTCAGTTGCCTTTGAGTGGGGGGGGATCCAGTTACAACACAGTTCTAGTTTGTGGAATAAACAGAATCTTAAATAGTTTAGAATAGTTAGGTTAGTAAGTTGATTAAGCTCCTTTTCTTCTTTTTCTCCCCATTTAAAAAAAAAATCCTTAAGTGACATTGTTTTCTCTCAAAATGCCAGGGTCTCCTGGCTTTAAATGCTGCATTTCCTGCCGGGAGGCAATTCCGATTTCTGACTGACACTCACAATGTGTCCCATGCCTGGGGGAAATTCATGTGCCCCGGAAGTGCAAAAATTCCGTGGTCTCACGGCCAGATCAAGAAAGCCAGAGACCTTAAGCTGAAACTCCTCTTAATGGAGAATTCTCTCCGTCCCACCTCAGATCTGGGTTTGCAAACTTCTCCGGCATGCGGCTTCTGACAGACACCCCCTCCTCCACCTCACAGGGAGGGGACCTGTCTTCTAAAGGACATGGAAAGAGGAGAGCTAACACTCCCGCTCTGAAGACTGCTCCAAAGAAGAAGCGATCCCTGACTCCATCTACCGCTTCGGTACCGACCATGCTGCAGCATAGTACCTTTGAGTCTGCAGGGATCTCCGGCACTGGCGGTGCCTTTCAAGCCGCAGACCGTAGGCGGGCAGGCTCTAAGAAGGAGGGAAGGGGGAAGACTGCCTTCTCTACCTCGGCACCTACAACACAGAAAAAGCGCTCGGTACCGGGTGACTCTGTTCAACAAGCAACACTGCCACCTCCTGGTATTATGCTACATTGCGCAGATACAGCACCGCAGATCCCCACGCCGTCCTTGGTGCGATCTGTGCAGGCTCCGTTCCTACCGACACTGCAAGGTCCCCTAGTACTGCCACAATTCTCGGTACCAGTACCTCCATCGGTACTGCAACAGTTTCTTGCTCCTAAAGACTTGACAGTTGCCCCGGTACCGGAATCACCTCTCTTTGGTACAGATACTGCTTCGGTACTTTCACTGCCGCTCACTCCAACAACAAGAGCTTCTCCTCCTGAGGATGTGGAAGGGGGAGGCTTTCTCCTCCAACAGTCTTCACCCATGCCAGCCAGTGTTCGGTCTACACTTCAGGAGCACCCCAAACCTCTGACCCAACCTGATTTTCAAGGGTGGTATGGTCATCTGTGGGGATCCCTGCCTATGCCCGTCCCACCTCAGTGGGCATTCTGAGACCCATGGGCAGCTTATAGACAGATTTACTCTAACACCACAACTGCCACCATGGAGATACACAGATATGCTATACCAAAATCCACAGTGCTGCCAGAGGCCCCTCCTAAACAGAATTTTGAGGAGGCGGAAGTAATCTTAGATCAGGAGGCAGCTCCTGCTACCTGCACCTGACTCTCACCAGATGAGACTGTTATGCCCTCTCCACCTTCTACCTGGAGATGATCTCAGGAACTTCCAGAGTCTCTTCAAACGGATTGCTAACAAGCTCCAGATAACCCTCAAGAAGGTCTCTGAATTGTGGCACGAGCTCTTGGATATACTCCACACATCCACCTCCTCTAAGATTGCCCTCCCGATTAATTCAGCACTCATGGAACCTGCAAAGAACATATGGGTGACCCCCACTACCATCTCTCCCATATCTAAGAAAGCGGACAAAAAATTCTACGTCCCTTAAAAAGGGATGGAATTTCTATTCATACATCCTCAGCCAAATTCATTGGTAGTTGATGCAGTTAATGAAAAGGGCAAGCAACATTCCTCCAGCACCACCCCTTCTGATAAGGAGTGGAAATGACTAGACTTACTCGGCTGCAAGGCCTACATATCAGCAACACTTCACTTCAGAATCGCCAATTATGAAGCCCTTATGGCAAAGTATGACTACTTAAACTATTCCAAATTTCCTGACTTTATTAACTGCATGCCAAAGAAAAAAAGGGAGCAGTTGCTCATTTCTGAGGGTCATCTCTTGGCTAGGACAGCCCTTCAGGCATCTTTGGACTCTTGCTGACACAGTGGCAAGAGCCATCACAACCGCCGTAGTAATGCGCCAGCCATCCTGGCTTCACCTATCAGGATTCCCCAAGGAAATCCAAGCCATGGTAGAAGACCTTCCGTTCGAGGGTCCAAAACTGTTCGCCAGCAAGACTAATGAGTCACTTCAGTTGTTGAAAGACTTGAGCCACTCTCAGATCTCTTAGTATTTATATATCTGCAATAAAACGTAAACAAGGCAGGTATTATACATTGCAGCGACCCAGACAAATCTCATACACGTAGCAACGGAGACAATACAATAACTAGCGAAGTAGACTGAGACCAACCAGACGCGGCCCAAACTCCTCCCAATCCACCATCTCTCAACAATCAACATCCAAACAGCAGATTTGCAGGTTTGGTCGAGGGCTTGTCAGACCTCACCCATCTATTGCTGCCAACATTACATCCCACCAACCATCCCTTCATCAACCACCTGATGCCGTTCTATCCAATCTGGTGAATCATCACTTCCGACAGATAGATTTTGGAAATCATTCCTTCTCTTCTATTTCAGTCTAGGGTACCCCATCATATCCTGTCAGTAACCGATTCTTTGACAGTCACAGGGAAGATCGTGACTGTCATCAAGGATGGTGGAACCAACCCTGCATGCCACCTACCCCCGTGGCCATACGGGGATCCCTGGACTGCTTACTGACAACAGTTCTCCACCAGTACCATATCAAGGGGAAAATAGGCTTGTTCAGTTCTCTCCTCCCCAACCATCCCGACCCTTCACTTCCCCCACCCCCAGAGGAGGAGACATTTGAAGAACAGGAAGCCAGGGCAGATACATGGGCCACCACTCAAACACCCATTTCAAACACTTCCACCACCTTCCAAGGCTGACAGTTTTCAGCAATTTTAAGACCTCATAAAGAGAGTAGCTGACCCTCTTCAAATTCCACTCATAGAGGTCAGAGATTCACAACACAAGCTTTGGATATTCTACGGTCAGCAACGACCTCCAGGGTGGCATTACCCATCAATGAGGCACTCCTGGGTCCAGCTAAGACTGTGTGGCAAACAACTGCTACTAGTCCACCAACATGTGGAAGAGCAGATAAAAAGTATTACATTCCCCTAAGAATTTTGATTTCTTGTTCTCTCACCCTCCACCTAACTCCCTAGTAATGGATGCAGTAAACGAGCAGAGCAGGCAACACTTCTCCTGGTCTGCTCCACATGAGAAGGACCAAAAGAAACTGGATCTATTTGGCCGGAAGTCCTGTTCCTCAGTTCATGATCCTGAACTGCAGGGTTACTATCAGGCTGTTGTGGCCAAATACATTTTCACAAACTGTAATAGATTGATGGTCCATATTGAACACCTGCCACAGGAACTTAAGGAGCAATTCCAGTCCCTCATTTCAATTATTAGCCAGAACCACTCTTCAAGCCTCCTTGGATGCTGCAGACACTGCCGCCAGGTCCATGTCCAGAGCTGTAATTACTGTATGTGCAGAGTATCCTGGCTCCAGCTCTTGTGGTTTCAGAGAGAAGTACAGTACACTTTTGAGGACCTCCCTTTTGATGGTCGTAGGCTTTTTTCCGAGACCACAGATGAGTCGTTGCATACGCTGGAGGACTGTAGAGCCACTTTGTTTCATGGGCATATATACACCTACAAATAAGAGAGGTTTAGTAGGCCACAGATTGCCTACAGGTGATGTCCTGCTCAGTTTTCTGGATTCCATAGATCCACTCAGCCCCCCCCCCTCAAAAATAAAAGAAAATAAAAAGACATAAGTTTCAGAGAAAGAGGGCTGCCCACCCACCTTCCACAACCACCAAACTGTCTCCTAAACAGCAGTTTTGACAGGCAGGTTAAGAGTTTGAATCCTTCTGCACCTCTGATTTTACAGCTGCACCCATTTGTCCACCACCTTTATGGACCTCCTTTCCCATTTCCAACATGCCTGGAGGTGGAGTACTACAGATAAGTAGTTTATAGAGGACATAACATCAGGCTGTCATTCCAACCCTTCAGCTCCCTTCTTGAGCTTGTATTAAAGCAGGAGGGAAACACTCCTCCAGTTAGGCACAATAGAGTTGGTCCCTCCCTCTCACTTGGGTGTAAGAGGATTTACTTGTAGTATTTCCTTAGATCAAAGAAGGGAAGAGAGTGGAGACTGATCTTAGATCTAATATTTCCAAACAAGTTTGTAAAACCTGAAAAGTTCAGGATGGTGACTCTGGCAGCTATAATTTCTTCACAGGAGAAGGGGGATTGGCCCTTGACCTACAAGATGCCTATTTTCATACACTCTCTTTGGACAGGAAATATCTACAATTCTTTATAGGCCAGGATCATTTCCAATACTGAGTGCTTCCCTTTGATCTCTCCTCTACCCCAAGGGTGTTCTCCAAAGTCCTGGCAATAGTTGCTGCTTACCTCTGAGAGGAGGCTAATCCATGCTGTATTAGGAGAACATCACCAGACAGACGTTAAATTGTTTTATTTAACTAAAACAACAACGTTAAGTATTCTGAATTTTTTTCGTCAACAGCAAACATATAACGTTTTCACAAAACAAGCATATGTCCCTCACTTCTCACATTTATCTCCAAACTTCTCCTTGTCTAGATCTATTCTGCCCCCAACAATCTTTTATTCATTGAACTTTTTGAAAGGGATTGACTCTGTGTACATAAATTTGCAGAGGCACAATAGAGTTTAGGTCTGTTATTTCTCACCTCTATATATTATTTATTTATTTTAAAACATTTTTGTTATTAACAAGCATGTTACCTTTGGAGACACACAACCACAGTTTAAGAACTTCAAAACTAAGCATCTCTGATGGATAGATGGATAGTCCCATTGGATAGATAGAAAGATTAATCTAAATAATCTATACAGAAGCCTGTGGAACCCCATAAAATTGGGTCCCTAATCCATGAACTATTGGAACTCATTTACAAAACTTTTCTTAAACATTACATGAATATATTGTCTCATACTATAGAATTAGAATTTATAATCTCTATTCCATGATGAGATAACGTTGAGCTATAATGTATCTTAATTAAAACTATCTTTAGATCAGTTCTTTCCTCAAAAAGCATTTTATCAAAAAAATCTGATTAAAAAAAATCCGTGTTTTTTTTAAATCATTGATTTTTATCCACCATGGATTCTTTTAATTGTGCCATATTATTATTTCTTGGGAAGGAAGTGGAGCTCATCATGGAGAGTCAGATCAGAGTCACTTCATCAGAAGTAGATAGATATGGCAGGCAGACAGCATCATGTGACTCCTGCTTCTTGACTTTTACAAATAAATTTCCTGGAATTAATGTTTTCCTTTTCCCCAGGCTCTACTTGTCCATCATTGAAGCACATAAAAAAGCTAGGTTTGATCTGACAACAGTTGACTACTTTACTTAGTTCCCTTTTTTTGGCTACATTTTTTTTCCCTGTTCCATGTTATAAACATTAATTTCTGTAATATTTACCACATCCTTAAACTTTGTTGCTGTCTTATTTTTGAAAATAAAAGTTTTGATTAAAATTTAAATGGCTTGTTTCTGTGATTAAAAAAAAAATCAGGTGATCTACTTGAAGACCATAACACAGAATGTTCCCATTTGAACGCTGTTAGAGAGATATCGCTCTTTGCCATGGATATTTGATGTAATGGAGTGACAGGGATAAATAACTTAGAAATATGTCTGAAATACTAAATGTGTGTCTAATTATGGTCATTGCATAACAAAGTATTAAATAAACATGATTGTACCTTAACATACATTCTCTCCCAGTTTGCTGCCTTTTAGGAATATCAGGATGCTCTATATTTCTTAAGGAAGAGCTATGAATACACCCTTATTAATATTCAATAATGTGTGTAAGTAGTGTATTTTCAAAGCATTAAGCAGAGATTTAATCAGACATCTCTCATTGAGAATATTGAGTCTCATAGGTAATGTCCTATATATGCTTCCTTCCCCAACCTATCTCCCTATTCCCCCCAAAGTGGTGGTTTTTGAAACTTTTAATTCACAGCTGAATTAAATAGTTGGGGGGAGGGATATCTCAGTGGTTTGAGCATTGACCTGCTAAACCCAGGGTTGTGAGTTCAATCCTTGAGGGGGCCACTTAGGGATCTGGGGCAAAATCAGTACTTGGTCCTGCTAGTGAAGGCAGGGGGCTGGATTCGATGACCTTTCAAGGTCCCTTCCATTTCTAGGAGATGGGATATCTCCATTAATTTAAAAGAAGACTCAGCTAAAGTGAAGCCTCTCAGAGCATGCAATTCCAAATACTCAAATGTCTTGTTACCTTGTGCTAGGGTAGTTGATCTGCTACTGCTGTGCTGCTTTTGTTGTGAATTGTGCTTTTAATTCACCTTTTATGCTCCTAGAGCCTGGAATAGGCATCTTTTTATGGCATCTCGCTTCTAAATAAAATAAAATTAGGTGCCAATTCAGTTTGTCAAGATCTTATTAATATCTAAAATACACAAAATCTTGATATCACCCAATAACTTGTATCAGAGTTTATCAGAGCCAAAATAATTCTTTGATTTAACAGAACTGAATCACAAGTAAATGATTTATTTTATGATTTCTTATTTAATAAGCAAAATAAAAGGGTTGTTGTAGCTTTAACCGAACTGTAACTTGCACTGGCAGCTGTTAAAAGCCTCTCCCTGCCCCTACTTATGTTAGTTGAAATGAAAAGCCATTTCACCACCCCTTGCTTTATTCTGGCTCATTTTGTTTTTAAATATCTCTTTACCAATTCTGTACTTTTTCAGCTTCTCCAGCACCAGCAAGGACGGGCCAAACAGGGAGCTTATCAGGCAGCCCAAAACCTTTCTCTCCTCAAGCCTCAACACCTATTGCTGCTAAACAAGAAAGAACTTCCACTCCAGGAAGCATTCTGAACCTTAACCTTGGTTAGTTCTAATTTTTGAAAGTCTAATACTGTTATAATAATGTAAATTACAGTGGAGTGGATGTGAGAGAGTAGCAAATTGCATGTATGTGGATTTAAATTAACATAGTACTGAAGCACGTGCCACCATTGTTTCATCAGCAGAGCTATGCTATATTTTTTGTAAAGCTGGAAATGAAACTTTTTTCTTACTGATGAAAGGTATTAGTTAGTAGATGATATTTAGCTGGACTCTCAGAAGGCTAAATGAACCCTTAGTGCCAAGGCTGTCAGTGCTCAGCTTCTCTTCTACAGTAGTGGATCTGTTTATTGTAACTACAGTGTACTTCAGCCAAACAGACAATTAACCATAAGAAATAGTTTCTGTAATAGTGGAATAGAGTATGCGCTAAAGGTGAGAGTCAATAGCTGGAGTGTGGTAAATTACTTAAGCCAGATGGCTCGGATTCTTCGAAGGTGAAGTTAAGGGTTATGTAGGGAGTTTTAAATTAAATGCTTGGCTGCCTGTAGTTCTTGTTGATACAGATGGAATTTTAAATCTGACAGTGTTTTCTGATGTTTTAACATAGTTGTCTGAAGGTTTTTAGCTGAAACATCAATTATCTCTTCAGAGTTAGGAAAATGTACCTTTGTTAAAATGTCAGTTTTGCCAAGAGTGAAAACACTGGATGGACTTCTCGTGATAACATCAACTGTGCCAGATATGGGTTACATTCCATCCTGAATCCAGTAGTCTTCTGATGTGACTCATTAAGTCACATATTACCTTGTTTGAAGCATTGTGAGAATAGGGATTCTCCCTGACATGATAGAATGAAAGGCAAGAGAATAGCAGAAATTCATGTTTCATGCAGAGAGCCGTGTAGCAGTTCTTCCTTTTTAAGCACTATGTTCTCCTGCTTAGTCAGAGGAAATCTATTGAAGGTAAGTCAACTGTAGCTACTCCTCGGCTGGCTGAAGTTATACTGCCAGTCAAGGATAGGGAATAATGAGCAAAACTGTACATTGATGTTCTCAGAGCAGAGATCCTTGGAATCAAAATGGGAACTACCTTTAACAGATTGTATGTCTGAGGGAGAAAAGAGGAGACATTGGCTATATTGAATATTAGCAGAAAGTTGCATCTCCAGAAGGGTGAAGGAAAATAGATAACATGGATTATGGGCAACATTACAATCAACTTTTAGGAATGGAGTTATCAGGAAGTTTGGAAAATTTCAAGATGAAGCACTTGAAAACATTGTGCATGAAGATCTTAGCCCCTAGGCTCTGCTACTGTTGATCAGGGCCGGCTCCAGGCACCAGCTTGTCAAGCAGGTGCTTGGGGCGGCCGCTCCGGAGAGGGGCGACACGTCCAGGTATTCGGTGGCATTTCGGCGGATGGTCCCTCACTCCGCCTGGGAGTGAAGGACCTCCTGCCGAATTGCCGCTGCAGAGCGCGATCGCGGTTCTTTTTTTTTTTTTTTTTTGGTTTTTGGCTGCTTGGGGCAGCCAAAACCCTGGAGCCGGCCCTGCTGTTGATTTAACTCTTTTCCGCATAACACTGGTCCTGAGATAAACAGGAAGGCCATTTCCTTTCAGGGAGACCTCTTTATATGAAAAAGAGTTGAATAGAAAGATCTGAGTGGTTTGACTTCTATTTTATTTGTTGGGATGGAGACACCTCTGAAAGAAAATATCTAACTTACTGTCTCTTGTCTTACCTTGCTTTATGTAATCTT